TCAATTAATATAATCTATCAGCTTACAGAAATAGTTGCTCATAGAAATAGTAGTGTAACAAATATAATATCTATGTATCACTTATGGAAATAATAGTGTGGTGAATATATTATGTTATGGACCTTAGTAAAACATAAGATGTAAAAAAAAGGCTTTTGTGTAACTAAAAACAGTGTAAGGCTATCCACTGACCAACGTGTATAAGTGATAACCGTGACACAAACCAGAGCACCAGAGGACAGTTAGTGAACACCATGTTAAATTTAAGGATGACATACTAAATCCCTATCAGAGGATGTGAAACAGCAGGATGGAGACAAAAGAAGAAATATAATATATTGACCTGACACACAGGACGTCATGCAGATAGGCTGGAGTGTGAAGAAGTCAAACAAAGGAGTTCCCAACACACCAGAAAATTCACAAGAATATTTGAATAACGCAGGAAATACTTGAATATACATGTATCTCAGCAATGTAACAGTATAAAGACAACATTGTCTGTAGACACTGATGTGTTCTTTGGCTGTTGGCTAGGAGCATCCCAGTGCTGAAAATACTGTCCTTTTTTATCCTATTATTAAACTTTTAAAAATTCTAAGCAGTGAATTCTGGTTTTCACAACTTGGAGGTTTCACCAAGATATACCTCAAGTCTCTGTGGCTCCAGGGGTCCTGGGCAGGAGGCACCCTGCTTAAAATTACAGCAGCCCACCTGGGCTTTTCCTGCTGCTATGAGAGACTGCAGGTTAATCCTCAGTTGGTAGGATAAAAAAGACAGAAAGAGAAAGCGGAGTAAAACTCTCTAAGATATTGCATCAATTCCTAAACCGGTGCATGAAGAACCTACGTGGTGAGAATATCACGAAAAGGGGATCGTGAAAAATCTGAGAGTCTGGGTGCGTGTGCATGAGGCACAGACAGGGCAGTCCCCGATCTGCCACATGAGAGCATGATCTTTTTAACTGCTTTTATGTCCCCCCACGAGGGGCCCGGCCTGTAACAAGACAATGCGAATGTTGGAGGCTGAGTGAGAATCTGGAGTAAGGGAAACTTTAGCCACTTAGCGGCTAAAACAGGGATTAAGGGATTGAAGAGGAGAGGGATTGCCTGGAATTTCAACTGCAGAAATCCTAATTCCGAGGTAGTGCTGCACTTGACCCATGTCTGACAGTCTATAGGAATCTAGGTTATAATGGGTGTTAGGATAGTTAAAAGGTTAACACAGAACCTTCAAAGGCAAGGGGCAGGGCCCAGGCCCCAATATATCCTTGAGACATGACTAATTTGGCTGATCTGGAGTGTTAAGCTGCTAAATAGAGAAACACTGCCTGAGAAACTGAGAAATTGATTAGGTCTGGTTGACAACAAGGCTTTTGAGAACCTTGTAGCAGGACCTTTGAAGTTTTTTTTATGTGTTGGGGTTTTTATAAAAAGTTTTTAAGTTGGGGGAATCTTAGAAGGGTTGAAGATGATTTTTAAGAAAAGGGCATTGTGTAACTAATAAGCATTGGTACAGGAATATCAGAACCTAACTCAACAAGAAGAATACTTTATTATGGTGTAAATGTGTGTGAGATGTATGTGTATGTTCCTCATTTTGTGTGACTCGCTGCAGAAAGGCAGAGCGCTCATTGTATTGTTTTATAATAAAATTTTTGTATTGTTTGTATAAGTGCAATTTTGTGTTTGAGTTGTGGATCTGGGTGTGAGCCTTGGGTCTTGTGTTAGTGTAAAACTTGTCATAAGAGGTGGTATTGTACTGGCTCTCGCAGGAGTGCCTGCTGTCAGGAGTGCCGTAGGGCCAAATTGAGAACCAGATCTCAGGCAATAAATGACATAATTTCTGTAGGACATGAAGAAGTGGGTAGCCCAAGGATAAGAGAAGCCTGGAGTGAAGCAGAAGCTGAGTCACAACAGGCAGAGATCATCAAAGTAGTGTGTGGAAGACAGTATTTATTTCCCAGGATTTGGACTAAATCCAAGGAGAATTGGGAAAAAAAAAACTGTAAAGAGTGTGTAGTTAGATTCACTTGGAAGCTAAGAAAGAAGATAGGCCACCAGGGTGGTGTAGGAGGTGCTGGGACAAATGAAAAAGAATGGAACACAAAGCAAGCAAAAAGAAAGCACCCATGGATATACCTCCCCATAGTCCCCTTGGTATAAAGTTGGCACAGTGGGAGCAGAACCCTGACACAAAGAATAACAATAAGATCAAAATGATACATTATTGTATGATTTAGTGAACTAAAGAAGAGATAAGATCAGACCATTTACTCTGGCCCCTACATGGGTCTTTTGAAAGGGAAATATGCCAAGCCTTAAATACTTATGTAAATGACAAGAAAGGTGTCAGGCAAGGAGAAAAGGATTATGCCGCTTGCTCAGGGAAGGTAAACTCTTTGGGAGAAGTGAAGGTGTTTAAATTAGAAGAAGACAAATAGAGGGACCCCTTAGACTGTCTTCCCCCCCCATATCTGCCAGCACCTAATGAACCCCCTCAGCCCCCTGACAGGCCTAGTCAGAATACCTTGGGAAGAGCTGCTCAGCAGGAGGAATTAAAAAGGGAAGACCAAGCAGCATCACTATACCCCCTCTGGGAAGTTCCACTGGGAGGGGCACAAGGGGGGATTGGGTTTGTCACAGTCCCACTCAATTCCTCCAAAGTAAGAGCATTCAAAAAGGAATTGAGAGGTCTATTTGAAGACCCTATTGGATTACCAGAATAAGTAGACCAGTTTTTAGGGCCTAATATTTATACTTGGGAAGAAATGCAATCTATACTAAACCTTTTGTTTACATTTGAAAAAAGACAGATGATTTGAGCTGCTGGTATGTGAATATGGGAGAGGGAACATGTCAACAGACCCCCTGGGGAGGATAAAATGCAACTACAGTCTACAGCGCAGGATGTGGGACCATAATGACCCCAGGGGAAGGCAAAACATGGAAGAATACAGAACATTGATTATCAGGGGAATTAGGGAAACAGCTCCCCGTAATCAGAACGCACACACAGCGTTTGCAGAGCAACAAAAAAAAGATGAAACCCCAACTGAATGGCTGGAGAGGTTTAAAAGGAATATGAAGCAGTACTCAAGAACGGATACTGATACGGAGGTGGGACAAACACTGCTAAAAGTGACCTTTGACACATATGCCTGGCCAGATAAAAGAAAGAAGCTAGAAGGATTAGAGGATTGGCAAGACAGAGGGTTGAATGACCTGCTAAAGGAAGCCTAAAAGGTATATGTACGAAGAGATGAAGAAAAAGAAAAGGCAAAGGCTAAGATAATGGCAGGTGCTATTGCTGAAGGAAACCACTGGGTAAAGACTCACTCCTATGGGGAGGTGAGGCCCCAGTCAGGCCACAGCAAGGGGGGCTGTGAGGAAATTAAGGGGCATAGAGCTCCCTTGGAGAGAGGCCCCACAAGGGAAGAAGGGGAATTTAATAATCAGGGCCCAGTCTGCCATTTTTGCAAGAAAATTGGACGCTAAGGATGAAACTGCCCACAGAGAGAAAAGGATCTGAAAGTTTTCAAGGAGGTTCAAGAAACAGACATATAGAGGAGTCAAGGGCTCTATCTCCTGGGAGCAGAATACCAACAGGAGCCCTTGATAACTTTTAAACTAGGCCCCCAGGAGGAGGAATTCGAGTTTTTAGCGGATACAGGGGCAGAGAGGACATGTGTGTGTAAAACCCTAACAAAGAGAAAAGCCAAGATACAATTCAAGTAGCAGGGGCAAAAGGGGAAGGATTTAGAGTGCCAGTCATAAAACATGATATTTGAAGGAACCAACAAGATAGGAATGGGGGATGTTTTATTTGTACCAGGGCCAGGATGTAATCTGCTGGAAAGGGAGTTGCAACTACAGTTAGGCATAGGAGTCCTTTCAGAGGGGGATAAAATGGTAGTTAAATTCCTCAGGTTAAAAGAAGATGAAAAGCAAATTGAAGTAGTTTGGGCCAAACCTGGAAAGAAGGGTAAGTTAAACATAACCCCTATCTATAGTAGCATAACTGCAACTAAGGATACAGCAATATCCACTCTCTCTCAAAGCAAGAAAATGGTTGAAAACTGTAAATCATTAATTAATCAAAGATGAAACTTTGGAGCCGTGCATGTCTCCCCACAATACCCCCATATTATTAGTAAAAAAATCAAATGGAACAGAAGCTCATCCAAGACCTGAGACAAGTAAACAAAAGAACTATAGAATGATATGCAATAGTACCAAATCCCTATACACTGTTAAGTAGAATTCCTTCATCACACCAGTGCTTCAGTGTGATAGATCTCAAAGATGCCTTTTGGGCCTGTCCCCTTGCAGAGGAAAGCAGAGATATATTTGCTTTCAAATGGGAAGATCCTGATACAGGGAGAGAGCAAAAATTCACATGGACTAAATTGCCCCAAGGCTTTACTGAATCCCCTAATTTATTTGGACAAGCCCTAGAAGAGGTACTGCAATGTTTCCCCATGAGCTTTATTGATTCTTTTGTATCCCCAAAGGTCAGAAGCCTTCCAAACTCTGGGGTGGTGGTTTGCTACCTCCCCAATCGGGGGTATCAGGTATATGCAAACTAACAAACACCAGGTCCATAGATGAGCCTAGAGTTTTTGCTTTTGCCTGTGATGTGAGAAAGAACAACCATTAGCCTTTTGTCACAGGGCTTGCAGGGTTGCAGGGTGAGAGAGGGACAAGAATGCTGACCTCATCTTCAGAAGGCTTGATTTATTATTTTATGATATATATATATTACATTATGACTATACTAAAAAGAATAGAGAGAAATGTTCTCAGAAAGCTAAGAATAGAAAAGGAATTAATAACCAAGGTCTGTGTCTCAGCAGAGAGTGAGACCCAGCTCTGCTGTGAGTGGTCAGTAAATCCAAACATCCACCCGAGACCAATCACGGATCCACCTGTTGCATTCCACAGCAGCAGATAATAATTGTTTACATTTTGTTGCTGAGGCCACAGCTTCTGAGAAAGCGGAAAAATCCTAAAGAAAGGATTTTTATGAAAAGATGTCTGTGACAGCCTTTTCTGCTGAGACACCTCCCAGATTTATTCTTGATCACATACCTGGCTTAAAGCATCCTGGAATGAGACACTCAAGTTGGGTACAATGTCAATGTGAAAACTGTGGCCAGCTCTGGCACTGTAGCTCAGCAAGCATGTAACAAAATTTGTCGAGATAAAGGGAAAGCATGCTTGCTCAGGCAGCAAGCATGTAACAAAATTTGTCAAGATAAAGGGAAAAGTCCCAACACTAATCGAGGGCAGGTACCAATTCTAACACTTTGTTGTGGAGTTGAGTGGATGATCCCTGATATTCACAAGCTATTAGAAGTTGAGTGGGAGGTACTAAATCAAAAACAGAGACCATATTTTGAATGCAGGCAACTACTCTATATGACGGGGAGATAATAAGACCCTATTCTGAGAGGGAACTTAATAAGGGCTGACTATGTAAGGAACTATAGAGAATCACAAAATGAGAAAAGCAGGTTACATAGGTAATTTTGGGATAAGGAGACCAGAAGGCAAGACCAAATTAACCACTATACTTGCCACCACTCATGTCCACATGCTGTGGGCAGCAACATCACCAGGCATGGCAGGTGGGGGTACACATTATACTGGGCTTCTGTTACTTCTTATTAATCATGTCACCTTTGGGAATCCAGATGATCCCTGCCACAAATGCTATAGACCACCATACTATGGGAAAACCCAAGGTTCTTACTTTAGCTTTCATACCTTCATTAGCCACCACTGCTGTAACTCCTCTCAGGTAGACACCTGCATACAAAATGACTGAATGTATAAAGTTACCAAAACTGTAGGGTCAAAACAGAGGTGCCCACGAGGAGATAAATGGGTTTGTTTCCCCACGAGTCAAACCCGAGAATAGAAAAAGGAACAAGATTTGATACAAGACTTAATATGGGAACAAATAAGGATAAACAAAACAAAGAAAACAGACACAGCAACCCGCCACTCTGAAGCCAACTCCACGTGGAGGTTTATATGCAAAATTCAGAGAACAACTGGAAAATGAAATAGAAATACCAAAGTTAGGGGAAAATTTCTTTTTACATCTCGGAGAAAGGATCAACAGGGAGCTAAATGTTACCAGCTGCTGGGGTTGTGGAGGAGCTTTAATATCAAAGAATGGCCATGGAAGGGTAGTAGCCTAGGCCCATTGAACTTCTCAAATGGAACAGATCCAAAATAAAAGGAGAAAATCAGACAGAGGGGTGGATATTAAGTTCAGACATAATTGGAGAGGAGTGCCTCTTGCCTATGGGAAGAGAATTTTCAGACAAGGACAGACCTCTTATAAAAGTGTTAAAGTATATAATGGAACTTTCACATGGTGGATCCCTGGACCAATATCCCAATATTGGACCCAGGAAAGGAAAAAGAATTGTAAATATGAAAAAGAAATTAAACTTTTCCGGTGCAATGACTCTGGGAAAAATCCCTATTATGGGACTCCTGAAATATCTGAATTTTGGGAAAATATTAATTACCAAGGAGCAAATAAAGGAAAGCACCAGATGGCTTATTTTGGATATGTGGAAAAAGGGTTTATTCAGAACTTCCTCTCCTATGGAAAGGAAGTTGCACTCTGGGAATTATACAACCAGGATTTTTCCTGTTGCCAAGCCAAGATGGAGATGATCTGGGAATACTGATACCCTAAAAAGAAAGAAGAGAGAACTAACTGGAGAAATTGGGGGATACCAAAAGTGGGGTGATGAAGAGTGGCCACCTGAATGGATAATACAGATATATGGTCCAGCTGTCTGGGCACAAGATGGGAGTTGGAGATAATGAACCCCAATTTATATGTTGAATTGCATCATAAGTCTACAAGCAGTTGTAGAAATCATACCTAATGAAACAGCAGGGGGTCGTGGAATGAATAGCCAAACAGCAAAAGCAAACCAGAGATGCAGTGCATCAAAATTGGTTAGCACTAGACTATTTGTTAGCAGAAGAGGGAGGGGTTTAACACATCTGATTGCTGTCTACAAATTGATGATATTGGGGATGCAGCTGGATATAGCCAGAAACATCTGGAAAATAGCCCATGTGCCAGTACAAATATGGGAATCTATAATGAATACGGAATGGTTGGAAGATTTTTTTTGGAATATCCTGGTGGAAGAGGGCCGGATTTGTATTGCTATGCGGAATAACAGGCCTAATCTTTTTCCATGTTTGATCTAATGCTTTATTCAATTAATCACTTATGTAGTCCAAAACATGCATATAATGACAGTATCCACCAATCCAAAGTCGGGAACCACAGGACGAAAGCAGAAAATTATGGTATTGAGAAAAGAAAAAGATGATGAAAACAAGGCATTTAAGACCTATGAAAAGTATCAGTATGCCAAAAGTGTAGAAGTACAAAAGTTGTAACTCAAGCCAAATACAGTAAGAAAAACAAAGAGGAGGGATTGTGAATTCTGTTTTTCAGGGAATTCTGTTTTTTACTGAAATCTGGTTCAGTAAATGCTGTTTTTCAAACCAATCATCTCCACATCTGCCAGCTCACTGCCACTTTTGATGGCCAGAATAATTTGCCTACTCCCTTCTCTGAAGGCCTTTATGCTGTGGGACAGACTGTAGTGTTACATATACATCTTCCATTCCAATGACGTATAGGAGCCACAAAACTACCAGTCCTCTTCCAAAAGACACAGATACAGACTGAATGAATAGTCTTTCTGGTTTATTCTAGCACTTTGCTAGAAGAACAAGAAACAAGAAAAATGTCCCTTGCTTTTAAATCTGTTTTCTCTACTTTTGGAGTGGAGATGCTACGACCTCCTTTGAGATGGAAGTTGTAGGTAACCAAGAGCTATATCTCATCACTAGTACCATTAATATTTAATTTGACACACTGCTCATCCACTGACTCTTTGAATCTGCATCACTGCTGGTCAGAGTTTAAATACTGACTCTAGCCTGAATCCCAGGACCTTCACCTGTCTACTGTAAAGCATGGCTGCTGTGTAGGAAAGCAGATTTCTGGGAGCTGTCTTTATGTCCTGGTAGTCCAAAGGCACACAATGAATTTTCTCCACTTGTCCAAAAGGTGATCATAAATCCCCTGCTTAGGCCTTTTGGATACTGCCATCCCTTCAGTGATCTGGAGGATTAAGGCCCTACAGCCTGGCTCTGGTTTCGAGTGGAAAGCAGTTTCTGTCTGGTGGGATCAGAGGAGCAGTAGCCTGGTGGTCTTAGCGCTGCAAGGATAACTGTAAGCCAAGGTTTGAGGAAGAGGGGATGTCCCAGGGCCCGTGCCTCTCCCTTCGGAGTTACGGCCTCAGCGGCATCAAGCAAGCGGTGAGGGGGAAGTGGCGCGGTGCCGGCCACCGCCCCCCCGCTGCGTGAGGAAATGGCTCTCACGTGAGGGAGGCGGCAGCGCCCGACTCACCCTGCCCGCTGCCCTGGGAGGAGGCGCCAGCGGGTCTGGGGCCGTCTGCAGCATGCCGACGAGCTTCACGGTGGTACCGGTGGAGGCGCAGGGCGAGGAGCGGCAGCGGGATGGGCAGCAGCGAGAGGAGGAAGATGAAGGCGACGAGAGAGACCGGGGAACTGGTGAGAGAGTGGTGAAGCGCCGGTGGTCAACGCCTAAAGAGAGCGTCGGCTCTTTGCGTGCGGAGGAGTGGGTCTGCGGCGGGCCTGCGGGCCGACAGAGTCCCCGAATACTGTGGAGGGGCCGCATCGCCTCTCTGCAGGGAGCGATGCCGGGGCTACCTGTCCAGGTGTAGAAGTGCGGTTCAGGAAAGGGCGAAAGTCTGGAGCCTGAGGTGGCTGAGAGCCTGTTTCTCTTTGTTTCCATTAGTCAGCGCCGCTGGCCGAAAGGAGGAAGTACTTATGGGCGGCTCCAGCCGGGGGAGAGGAGCAGCCTGCGGTCGGGCGCGCCGCCTGCCCGGGGCGGTGTGGGGCGGTCAGTCCGCCTCCCGTCTGCGACGGGAAGCGGGCGGAAGCAGCATCGCCCACGGCGGTCTAACGAACGGGGAAAATACGTAGAATCAATCGTTTCGGTTGGAAGAAATCTTGAAGATTAGATCATCAAATCCAACCATTAGGCTGTCTTAAAGGCTAACTGCTGTTGGAGCACACCAGAGAGAGGGCTAAGAGGCAAGATTCAGACTGTGGAGAAGAGCACAATTTTACCTGCGTTGCTCCAGGTGTTTGTCCAGCCATGTGCTTTTGCATCAGATATAGCGTCTAAGGTTAAGTAGGTGTTTGCTACGAGATGCCGTCGCGTTCGGAGCCTTGCTTCTTGCTAGGCCTCGTTCCTGAAGTCTTTTGGGGAAGTAGAATCAAACCGGAGGTGGAGCTCGGGCATCGTGAGTGAGGGTCTGCTCAGGACAGCCCCTAATGCAGGGGCAGTAGTATTTCTTTGCCAGCGTTGCTGGGGAAATGAGTGCTTCTTCACTTGCATGACAAGGCACTGCTGGGAAAGCAGTAATTTTTGTGGCGCTTAACACTGCCTTTTTCCGAAGCGTGTTGCAGCAGCAATACCAAGTATGGTGTGTGAATCACTGCTAGCAACTTCGAGAGCTAGTTCACATGTTGCACTTTATTCTGGATGCTTTGTTACAATCGATACTTCTGTAAAGGTTTGTGGGGGGATTAACTTTGTTACATGACAACAGGTGAATAAATGGCGGTTTGTAAAAGGCATCTTATTTTTGTGGTATAGGTGACAGATAAATAAGGCTAATTCCGTGTTATGTGGGATATGAATGTAAAGAGATAAAAACAGATATTTGACAAATTTAATATATTTACATTATTTTAGGAAGCTAATATAGTAAAACACCAAGCTGACACAGTTGGGTTATTTTCTTCCAAAGCTTTCTACTCTAAAATCCTACTTACCTATTAAAGATATATAATACATATAGGTGCCTTTCCCTTAGTATATTCAAACAATCTCTAGGTGTCCTAATAACTGCCTCTTCTTTTCCGAACTAAATGCAATAGAAAAACCAAAGCAATATAAGCTGTGACAGTTTAACAATTTGTTTCTGACAACAAACAACAACAACAACAGTTTGTTTCTGTGACATCTCTTTGTACTAGATGGATGACTAGCAGTACAGCATTAATCTGGACAAATTTTGTTTTGGTAGAAGAGCTAGTCAGAAAGGCATGGTGTATGATGTTTACACAGGTGGCATTTTAAAATACTGACTATACATACAGGCAAAGTTAGACAGGATTTGTTAGACTGCATGTATATATGAAGTATCTGAAAGGCTTGGAACATTTTTAAATCCTGGGAAGGTGAGACGAAGAGAGGAACTGCTACTTTCACAGTGGTTTATCACAACCCTAAAGACCAGAGATAAATAAAAAAAAAAAATTATGTGATTAGGTAGTGTTTTGGGGACTAGTAGTTACAATTGTAAGATATATTTACTGTTATGGATCTGTATCAGTCAAGGGGATGAATTTATGTATGACTCTTCTTGTGTGTTTGTAAAATTGGAAGTAGAGAGGAAAACACTGAAAAGGGAAGGCATTGATTTGTATATAAATTATAGGCGAAGAGTTCTGATCTCATGGAGAGATTAAATGCTACCCTCTGACAGACAGTTTTGGGAAGTGAAAGATGTGCTATTTAGTGTTGCTTTGGGTATTGTATGGCATTGTTAAGTTAATGCTGTATAATAAAATAATTGTTCTTGAGTTATTCTTCTGAAAACTAAAGAATTCTGAAATGTTTGTACTTCTGATAGCTGCTGTAGTTAAGCCCATCTAAAAGCCTGCTGCTCAGAGAAGGACTCCTTGCCCTTCTCACTGCTCCAGCCTTGAGAAAAAGGCTAAGAAGTAAATTATTTCTTTCCTTGTCCTCCTCTGTGTCTGGGTTTGCTTCCATTTTCCTGCGCTTGACCATCAGACGCAGGAAAAAGGAAGCAAACCACTGGTCTGGTACAGCGTGCTAAACTGTGAGTAAAGTAAACTGCTGGAGAGGTAAAAATCATTTTGGGTTGAGGTGAGTACTGCAAAAAGTGAGAATGGCTAGGGTTGTGTCAAGGTGAGAGGTGGGTAAAGCTGAGAGCAAGACATGAACATAAAAAAGACGAGAATGGGAACTTCCCATTTGATTTAGCCTACATAGCTCAGCATGCTGTTTTGTTCCAGTTGTTTAGAAATCTAGCATGTTATCAGTTTTGATTGAATTGTGTCTTAAAAACCAAGTAGGTTTTCCTTGACTGCACTAGTACCTTTTTAAAAAAAACAAACCAACCTACCAAATACATGAAAACCTGGCAAACCTGTCCCATCAAACTCTGCTAATTTTTTTGAGGGAATCAGTTGTATGGTGTCTAGTCATTAGATCAACAGTAGTTTTGATTTTTATTAGCAAGGCACTTACCAATTAGTGCACAGTTTTGTGCATTTATCCCCTTTCACACATTCTTACCTGATAATCATCTGTGTGATAAAGGAGTAACCTGGGATGTTCTTGTTCTATGATCTGCACTCCTTCTTAATAATATGAAATTCCATAGCTTCATATTTTCTGACTATATGATACTTTGATGTATGTGAAAGGAGGAGAAGACATTTGTGACTCCCTATGGGGCTGGGCTGTAGCACTAGTCACAGTAGTACTTCAGAAAAGGCAGAATACTTCAAGTTAACATGGTTTAGGGTGCAGCCTGCTAACTCAAATATTCACAAAGTAGCAGAAAGAAGACATGCCTGTTTTCTGTGTCTTTCAATGTGGTTATAATAGACTACAAAGAAAGGGTAGTCAGGAGATAGTAAATGGTTGAAGAGGAGAAGGAAATATGAGTCTATAGACAGTAAGGGATTAAGTTTTATAAGAAATTCTGGGCTTGATTTGTTTTGGGTGTTTTGTTTGTTTTTTTCACACGTAGTTTTAGTGACTGTCTAGATAGACCTGTAAAAATTTTGTAAAGTTGATCAGCTTTTCGTTCCCTAGCAGCTCTGTGTATCAGGTGCTTCAAGACATCGCTAGTATTTTTAGCATCCCATAGTATTATTTACCTTGCCATAGCAGTTTCTTATTTAGAAACTAATGTGAGAACTAACTCCTGCAAATTCTTTTAAAATTGAAGACCCTCAAATACAAGGAATAGCAATAACAAACCCGATCATCTACGAAGAAGCCATCATATAACTAATGAAGCATGGATGCCGTGAATTTCTGTAAAATGTTACTTATTGGAAAACCAGGGAATAGTCGACACGTGTGTGTGTGTGTGTGTCTGTGTGTGTATATGTGCAATGGAGGAAGATAATTAATCTCACGGAGTAGTCTAGTGTATTTTCAGTCAACCCTTCTACCTTAACTGCCATAATTGACCATGCTTGCAGCATAGATGTTATGATCAGAGAAAAGTAGATTTTAGATGTTATTCAAAGATTTGATCCCAGGAACTAGTCTGTTCCTGTCACTGGCATCCATTTAACAGAATTGAAACACTTTTTATGAGTTTAAGGCTGATTTAAAATGTGTAATACATTAATCCATAAACTAGAAAACAGTGACATATTTAATTTGAAAGAGAATTAATAAATTATGCTGCCAGTCTAAAAAGAAACCTTTATAAATTAAAAATATTTGTTTTTAAAAAGAGCTTACAAAATTACTAGAACTATATTTTAAAGTGTTTATCTGCTACATCTTAAGTAGAACAAATGCCAAGTATTTCTACATAAAATCAATGTTTAAAAACTAACTGACTTGCTTAAGGTCTGCTAATACGTACAGATATCTTTTGGTGTGTAAAAGAAGGTTTTTTAATAGTAGATAGGTCTTTGGAATAGGTTAATACTACTTGTTGCTAATCTCTACTGATCTGTTTAGTGGATATATTTTAAAATGAATTTATTTGATAGAAATAAAACTTTTAAAGTACTTATTAGATGGACACATGGGATGTTTCAGTGACTTGATCCTTCCCATATCACTAAGCAGGGTCTTAATTGCTGACAAAAATCCTTCAGCTTAATTCTCTTCAGTGAGTTCTGTGACTCTCATGCAGTTCATGTCATGTGCACTCATGCAGCCTGAAGTCTTAATGACTTGTTTCAGGATTAATCCAATGCTAGTAAGAAACAGGATCTGAGGTCTTACACTAAGCTGGGAGGAAGGAACTGTCAGTTTCCTCTTTCAATTCTCTCGAATCATCAGAGGAGACTGATTTAATTTTCCTTAATCATGAGTGAGCAAGATTTTGAAGAAAACGGGCCAAATCCAAGTGAGTCTCTTTACAAGAAAATACTGTGGTTTTCTAATATCTTTCTTACTGAAATAGGAGGTTCTTTTACTTCCAGCCATATTTTAAAGAATTTATAAAGAGCTTTTGCAGTTTTCATTAGAAGTAAGTTGTGCTTGATGATAATAGCAGCCTAAGTAAAGAAAAATCTAAGATTTAGCAATGTTGATAACATAGATGATGGATGTAATATTAGAATCATCCATTATGTAAAGAGGTTTATTTACAAGGGGTTTAAATACACTTTGTTGTGCATATCAGTATAACATATAAATTATGCTAATCATTAATAAAAATACTGGAAGAAATTTGTGATGTAGTAAATATATT